AGCCAGTTCTCACTGCTATAAAGGCTGATCGTATCAGTTGGGATTTGGGTGAAAGATTGTCAGTTGTGACGATAAAGATATAAGTGGCCACATTTCACTGATGTCTTTTTAAACTTGGAATTCAGATCCACAAGTTTATTAAAGCAACAAAACAAACTTGAGCAAAAAATAAACACAAATCTCAAACCCAAAATAAGATAAATGACGCATCTTAAGCGATTTTAAAAAGTGTATTTGTCGAGACTTGATCCCCTCAAGAGGAGTATTATTTACTTGACAAAACGTTATTTGATCAAGCTCATGCCTAAACCATGAAATGTAAAATAAGATTTCAATAACCTTACAGATTAACATATTCCTTTGTTAATGTTGCCTCTCAATTCCCGTTCCTAATTGCTTGGCTTTCAGCTGAAAATTCTGAGGAGCTGATTGCATTTCAAAAGGCAGGATTCAGTGTGGCTCTTAACGTCGTGATGCAATATCACCTCTCAGAAAAGCCCCTTCAACTCAGGTATGGGGAGTTCAAGAGCCTGTTTACCCTGAAAAGGAAACGGCGCTTTTACACACGTGCTTGTCTAAAAAGAAGCGATTTGTCTTCACAGAACACAACAGTTCTGCCAAAATACCACTTCATATTTAAGCTATTTGCGCAAGTTTTTATTTATCGGTGACATATCTGAACGTGTCCTTTCTGCGATTCTATTTGATGTGCCAGCTATCAAAGACGGGAAGCAAGAAATAAACGGCGATGCTGGAATTGAGTGCTAGCAAAGAGAGCAGGGAGAAGGGGAGCAAAGGCTCTGGCCCACATAATATTTTTGTTCGGCGCTCTGATCAAACAGCCGGCGTGTCACTGCAGCAAAGTGAATAGATTAACTTTTAAATATACTGTGGTCTCAGGAGCCTCGTGCCCTCAGAGACGCATCTTCTCTGCAAGAGGAAACTCATCAACTTCAGCTTCTTCTTTTTTTATTAACACGCCTCTTATAATTAACAGGTTCTTGATATTGTTTTTTTTTGTTACTTGGAATTTGCAGAAAAAAAATTGCATATGAAACATTGCAGAAATTTAAATCGAAAGTTATAACTGTTTTTAATTTGTCTGGAAATGAATTTCTAATTTTATCCTTTTTATTTCCTGCTTGAGTCTGAGGATTGATTTGATTGCATGCTTGCTCCATGGGTGTTTTTAAAACGGGGTTTGATGAAGAACTTTTGCCTAGAGGGGGCACTCTATACCTCCCAGAGGACAACAACAACTGTTTGTAAACAGATTTCAACATGACAACGTTGAGTGATACCAGATGACAGATAAGACTGGTGAACTTTTTTTTTGTCTTGCTCGAATCAAACTGTGCATTCTTACAAACTCTGTTTTTTTTTTTACTGTTTTGTTGAGCTTTCTTTAGATCTTCTCTATTGTTTTTGCTTGTGCATTTTCTGAGGCCACTTGCATGTGCCTTTCTTTCTCTTTCTTTTTTTTTTAGAGCCAGAGCACTGGCAACCCTTTTTTTGTCTTCTCCTGCTTGCTTTGGAATTTAGAGGATTCCCTAATCCATCACGCCACTGTCATCCCCACACCTTCCCCAGCCTCCCTGTTCTCTGCCCCAGCCTCACCACAGCTCATTAGCGCCCCACAAGCTGTTGTGACAACTCATCATATCATGACATAAAGCAGAAAGACAGGGGGCTCCAGCCCGGCACCCCCCTCCCTGCCCAGCCACCCACTGGGCCCACGAGGTCACCACCTTCACATTTAGGGCTCAAATTGGCCCTGCGAGGTGCCACCAAGCGGAAATGCGAGGCCAACAGCTTTTTCCTGTCCGGCCTCTCCCTCCCTTTGTCTTATTCCGTCCTGCTGTCAGGTTTTCTCATCTGTTTGCCTTCTTCTGCACCAGCCCCCATTAATCCTCAGAGGCCTGACTCGAAGCAGCTCTTTTATTTGTCCACTTCTAAAAGGCTATGTTTTTCTAATGGTACCATAAATCATCTCCTAGTGTAGTATTTGTTTTACACTCGTGCTAGCACTTACTAAGGACATTGTTTTAGTTCATTTAGAAGAATTGTAGAGAAGCACTGAGTGCAATCTGAATGACTTACTGAGGCGTAGTGTTTTTTTCTTATAAGCATATGAACCTTGTAGCTTGAAGAGGAAGAATGTAATAACTACAGCCTGGGCAATATCAATAACATAACCAGAGGCAAGAACTGCTGCAGCTAAARTGTGCTGCATGGATTTCACAGCACTGGCCTTTCTCAGCAACAGGCGGCGTATGAGTCTTGGATGTGGAGAGAGTAAATGTGTTCATTGATGTTCATACAAGAGGGTGCCCTTAAATTTTTCTTAAGGGGCTTCCGAAAGCAGCTTCTTTTTCTGACGGTTTGAAAATCCGGTCATTGCGTCTGCAGAGCAACGTGTCTGCCTTCCACTGTGTTTGTTTGTTGTAAGGACAGAGGTGGTGGGAAGGATGCGAGCCAGCGGGGGTGTAAGGGCAGGAAAGTGTTCGTTCTTTTTTTTTCTTTCCCCTGGCTTTTGTGGAGAAGGAAGGGAGAGTAAAGCCTCCCACGTTGCCTGCTTTTGTTTCTCCGTTTGCTCGGCGGGCTCGGGGCAGCCGAAGCGCCCGGCAGCCTGCCAGATGATAGGTCTGGAGCTTGTGCTGTCCCACACCGGCCGCACGGGGCAAGTGTGTCGCAGCTCCTTTTTCGGCGGGGACCACCGGTTGCTGCCACGGTGTCAGCAGAAAACACAGTTGATGCTACGCCATCAGCGTGGTGATCACATGCCATGCAGTGTGCAGGAGAGATGACTATAAACAGAACACTCTGTGGGAGTTACTGATGGTGCAATAGATTTTTTTTCATTAAAAAAAAACTTTACAGTAGTATATATTTAAAACTTCCTTACCAGTATAAAACTATCTGACTCACAAAGAAAACTCGTTTGCGTAAGAACTTGGCTTTGTTTCTAGCTACTGTCTTCTTCAGTCGGTGGCTTGCTGTTTGCATCACTCTAGGCTTCTGGAAAAGAAAGAGCACGCTCTGACGCCAAAAAGTGACGGATGTGAATCGTCTAGCCTCTGGCTTCTCCCACCCGCCCTGCACGGCCTCCCTAACACCCTCTTGTCTAAACGTGGACTCATTGGATGGACATTGTGAACTGTCCTCTCAATAGCTGTTGTCCYGGGACAAAAGAACTCATTTAAATGGCCACTGAAGTATTTCAGCRCGGAGAGATGAAGAATCAACAACATTCTTTCACATTATTACCCGAGGGAGGGGGCGGAGAGTGGCGAGGGAGGAGGWTGGGAGGTGGGGGACGCACAGGAAAGAAGGGATCTAGGCCGTCGTCATACTGTGAGCGACCGACTCTTGAGGTAACTGCCAAAACCTCAGTCACGACTGCTTTCTTCCAGCCTTTTTTTTTCTTTTTCATCCCTCTGTTTTGGTAGTGCAGATCTGAATCTCAAATGAGTGTTTCGGTTTGTGTTCCTTTCTCAGGAACCTCATTCCACCTATCGCCTCCCCCCTGACAACCAAACACGAGCCCCTCCCAACCCACCTCCCTCTCCCCTCCCAAGCCTTTTCAGCTCAGGGCTGTGAATGAGTCCCAGGAGTCTCTCTGCCTCCCTGGAGTTCTGCTGGGGTTCATTAATCTTTCATTGGGACCACGGCAATAGGGAATGCCCCCCTCTGCTCTTCTACATACACTTCCAACTTCCCCCCACCAGTGCTACTGTGGAGAAGAGGCTGCTTGTCCTAACCGTGCAGATAGACGAGCCTTAACCACCCAGAGGAAATTTTGACACGGGGCCCTGAATGAACTGTTGGTGTTATTTGCTTCTCAAATGGACTTCCATTAACTTGAACCTCAAACAGCCTGGCTAGATGATTAGTTTGCAGCATAAAGCTCTGCACACATTTGTCTTGCCCTGGGCCCACAGCTTTGCATTTGTATTGTCAATGAGCGTCGGGCAACTGTGCATCTTAAGCATGCAGCCCCCCTGCCAACATCTAGACCCATTAATGTTTTTCAAAGTCTTTTGGAAATGTGCCACAGTGGAGTCTGCTTTCTTTCTTTCTCTTTTGCATGGTTTAAAGTCACTAATGAGGGTGTGTGGCCTGCGAGAGAGAGAGCACACATACACAAGCAGCCCGGTGTCTCACTCCTCTCCCMCCCAGAACACATCATCCATGTTATGATAAGCCTGATTAGTGCTGCTTCTTTGACTGCTGAGGGCAGGATAAGGATGTGTGGGTAAAAAAAAAAGGCGAGAGCAGCCTCTGCCACCAGCCTGATCTACAGTGCAGTTCTAATCTGGTTATCTCGTGTTCAGGGACTGTCTCTGTCCCAGCCTGGCCTGATGGGAGGACCTGAGCTCCAGTTAACACAAGGGCCCACGGCAGCACACCCCTAAAGCTCCGCTGTAATCTTATGGGTAATTGAAAAAAAAGGGGGGGGGGTCTGCACCACTTAGGAGCATAAAAAGAAGATTACATAGCTAAAAACTAATTTGGTAAAAATGCAGAAATGGATTTTCACTACTTACCCCTCCTATTACAATACTCCCATACTCTCCATGACTTGGGCCCTGGGGGAATAGATGAGGGAGAAGGGGGGAGCTGAAGAGCTGCTAATGGCTTTAGATTTACACGCGCTGCCTTGATTTTGTGGTTTACAGATGATTGATTACTTCACTGCAACAGAGGTTTGAAAGTGTCTCATCAAACATCAAACCCAAATGTGACGTGAAAACCCCACAAACCTCTTAGATTGAGTTACCGGATTCCAGTTCGACACCGCAGAAGTGTTTTTAATTACGAACCATGCTATTTCTGCTGTGGTTTGGTGGTTTGGCAGCTCAGGCACACTMCGAATTTGATAGCTCTTCTTTTTGAGAACTTTCGTGTTGGACCTCTGTAGCACACGACTTTAGTCTCGATTCTAAATATTAACATTGTTGCCTTTTTTTTCTGCCCCTTCTTTCTTTTTCTTTCTTCAGTCTAATAAGGTTCCAGTGGTACAGCACCCGCACCATGTGCACCCTCTCACACCTCTGATCACCTACAGCAATGAGCACTTCACACCAGGAAACCCACCACCTCACCTACAGACAGACGTGGATCCCAAAACAGGTAAAGTCCGACAAGCTCTTCCACCCCATCGATGTTTAACAGCAGATGTAGCAGTGTCTGTTATCCATCGGAACATTGTTACAGTTCAGCAAAAAGTTTTTGAGAATGGCTGTAAAACTTTTAACAAATTGAGTCTTCAGAGGACAATAAAACAAACAGTTGTCCTTAAAATATACCTTTTAGATATGTTTTATGATTCAGAATCCCTACTTGGGTTTATGTTTGTTGATGTTTTTGCAATACATACTCTTCAGGTAAGATTTCAGGCAAAAATATATAATTTTCCGTCGTTTTTGTGCACGGTGACTTCATAGACGCTGTTCACGAGTCAGTGACGTTTAAACTAGGACAAGGTCGGCTCAAGTGCTCCTTTGTTTACAGCTGCAGCTCTTATCTGTTGTGAGGCTTTAGAACTCGTCTCATTACCGCCGTTTGCTTTTTTTTTTAGTGGTAAGCAGCCCTTTTTATTCTTGAAAACAATAACCTGAGCAGTGGCTCATGAATTTCTTAGAAACCTCACGAAACTCCACCGAACACGAATCCAATTGCTGAACACAAGCCGGCCGCTGTAGTTGGAGCTTTTTGCATCGACAAGCCAGASAGCATCAAACGTACAAACGTCTTAAACGAAAAACGTGGAGCACTTTTTTTCCTTTTTTTTTTTTTTCAGTTTTTACTTTTAAAATTTGCCTGTTAGTGCTTTGTTTATGTTTTTTTCATCTGGATAGCCTGTTGAGTCTACAGATTCAGCGTCCGAGTTTAACTGTCAGATTCGACTCACTAAAGCATCTCTCACGAACATTCAGTGCACATTTTTCAGGTAATTTCATTCATTTCCGTAAGCTTCTTGACCCAGCACTTAATTTTGYTAACTGTCATTCAGCCCATTCTTTTGGGTTAATGCGTTCTCTGTGTGGTGAATAATTTTGTGCTTTTCTGTGGTCTCTGGTGGATTCAGTCTGTGTTTTAGGTAATAATGTTCCCTTATTATGATGGCCCTTACAAAGGGGAAATAATGTGCCAGCTGCTGTTCAATGTAGAGCTTAATGGGGCTGCTTAATTGGGCACAGTGTTTAATTAATTAATGAGATATATTAGGTCTTGAGCGCTGCATGGCGATAGGAAAATGTTCCCCTGCCTTTTCTTTTCAGTACAACTTGCCTTTGTGGAAACGGTATTCCTCGAAAAAGTTTTGATTTAAAACCACACGTAAACTTGCCGTGCATCAAAAACCTGCGATCGAAGCTGACTGTAACCTACTTCTAATTTCCAAATAAATCACCCAGCTCTAGTGCAGCCTTGCTGGTGATCACCAAAATATCTGCACCAACAACTGGTGTATAGAAATAACACACAACAGCCAAACAAGTCCCCCGGTTTCTGATCTTCTGAGGGCACTTCCCGCTCTGCTGCGCTTCCACACAAGCCTGGTGCACCTTGTTTCAAGTTCGTCTTGAGAGAGAAAGTTATTTTCACACTCGGCTGCGTTCGGGACCTTTTCAAGGCGCTCGTTCGGGGCAGCTTGTCGATGCCGTTTCTCCTCTTGTCAGCTGCCACGGAAAGTAACGGCTCCGCTGTGGATGCTGTGGTAGCTGGGTGATCCGTCCTTAAATTGGACATCTTTGTCACCGTTTGTCAGCGGGGGAAAACAAACAAAAATCGCTGATGTTTTTATGTCAAATCTAGGGATTATTTGAAAGAACGGCGACCACTGATCCAGCACATATGTTCTGAATATAAAGCTGCAGGCAGTCAATGTCTGCTCCAAGTCAAAAGTAGAAATGTTGAACTGGTGTATATTCCTGCTAATAGGTATTTTGTGTGTGCATCAAGTAAAATCCGGATAGCCAGTTAAAGTCTGAAGGTAGACTTGCTGTTATTCGCAGCTCTCTGATCACAGTGACAGCTTTTAATTAAAATGCTTTGTTTTGTTAACTTCTAAACGTCAGCCATTTTATATCRTTAATCTTCTGATTTGCCAGACAAATGTGACAAGAATGGTGTTGGTGTGCTCTCCTCACTTCTCTACCCTCTGCCTCTTCCAACACATTGTGCCGCTGCTCAAAGGCCTTTGATCAGGAAGTGTGATTTAAACATTGTGTACATGCAAGCAGCGAGCCCTTGTCGTCGTCSTCCTCCTCCTCCTCCTCTTCTTCCTCCCATCCGCACTCCTGTGATGTCTGCCCCATTCAGATGTGAAACTCCAGCAAGAATGGATTCGACACTGACAAAAATGTGCTTCTGTCTCTGTCTYGTCTGTCCACCTCCTCCCTGCTCCTGCCGTCATCTTTCTTTCACAGGAATTCCGAGGCCTCCGCATCCTCCAGACATATCTCCTTATTACCCTTTGTCACCTGGCACTGTTGGCCAGATCCCCCATCCGCTAGGATGGTTAGTACCACAGTAAGCAACTCCTTTTTTTATTCTTTATCCATCTGTATTTTGTGTGAGATTCTTAAAAGTTTATATTGATTAGGGTTGAAAATTTCTAGAAACTTTGCATGTGACGTTGGAAATTTTCCAAATGGGAAACTTTGAGTGGGAATTAACTAGAGAGTGGAAGTTTTTAAACAAACTGCATCAGATCCAAATAAAATATATACAATTTGTTCTGTCATAGGCAGACAATTTCAGTGACAAATAATGTTTCACCCAGAGTTTATGGACATAAAATCTTTAATTAGTGAATGATGTAATTGGCATCACCGATGACATCACTGTCATAACTAGTGTTTTTATTTTTTACAAAAATAGATTTTCCCCAATTATGTTTAAAGTACTTAAGAGCCAACCTTTAATATAGTAAATTCCAGGCTTATCCCAGTATATTTCCATAAAATTCTGTTAATTCCCATTGAAGGTTTACAGCTTTGATTTTAAATCCTAACTAACACTGATTCATAAACACAAGACGTGTATCGAGCTAAATCATGACTAGAATAGCAGTAAATAAAAGTGGGTATCACCTGTCATGGTAGGATGTTATGATAGATTCCTCTGTCTCTGGTTTTTCCCTGCGAATTGGTCGCCTCAGTGAAAGTCGATTTTCTACCGCAATCCTGGACCGCAGCAGCACCTCTGAGCTTTCTTAGGCCCTTGCCAAGCTCAACTTGCTATTTTGTGGCAAATACTATTTTGCATGTCTATGTTTGGTTCAATTAGAGTAATGAACTGTGATTGCTTGTGTTTTACCCACAATTCCTCATAGGGGCTCTCCCTTGGTAACTCTTGTCAACACTTGTTAATATGACAAAAGGCTACAAATTAAGCTCTGTTAATTTAATGTTTTCTCACCGCGATCTAAATACCGAGAGAGGCCCTGAGCGCAGTCATGGCGCCCTTTGATTTGCTGCACTTTATTTTGGTATAAATTTACATTCATTATTGTTTGTCTTTGGATGTGTAGACCTCAATTAGTGTGATGGCTCCATTAAAGGGACCCGCGCTTCGTCTTTAATTATCGCAACAAAACACCTAGTTCCAGCTTGGGGAGGAACAGGGCCCCACTCTGTCGACACAGAGCGAAGGGTTATGAAATTTAATTAGCCATTGCTATCAAGATTTGTGGCATTCAAATTGTTCAGAGTTTTCCTCCCTTTGATCTGCGCTCTGCAATCCCCTAGATTTTTGTCCTGATCAAATGAGAATAAAGAGGCCCACGGTGGGGAGAAGTGAGAGACAGAGGGCTTTGGCGTCTCCTCTTCCATCAACCCTGTTCCTTTACCTGTTCCTCTTTCTTCTTTTCTTCCCCCTTCCTAGGCAAGGTCAACCTGTTTATCCAATCACAACAGGGGGTTTTAGACACCCCTACCCAACTGCGCTCACTGTCAACGCATCCATGTCAAGGTGAGTTGAGCCTAAGGTGTTAAACACACACACTTCTTCACTCACATATCGGTTTATGTTTGTCTTGGCTGCACACTCGTGCACAATCGGCGAGCAGAAACTTCTCCCTTAAGGAGAGCTCACACTCCCCATCTTATTTGTTCAAAAGGCCAATTCTCCAGTGTGGGAGCTCCAGCTAGCGTGCTCAAATATTAATTATATTTATCATTTCCTAATGAGGCCCCTGAAGAACATTTACCCCCACTGCACATCAGGCAGATCTGAAATGAGCCGGGGCACGTCCTTGCTGGGAGTTTGAGCAGCCAAACAGATAAACAAACAGCAGCACTTTGAAGGTGACGAGATGATGTAAGCCGACACTTGGCTACTTGCTTCGGTTCCAGCTCATTAGGGGTCGAGTTCAAGTGCTGCTGTGGACACTGGTGCACTCGTGTGGCTGAGGTGTGCGCACATGTTGGTGTTTTACAACATATTGTTCCCTTGAGGAACACTTGGCCTCTCTGCTGTCTGGGAAAGTGAACGTTATTAAATTTGATGCCTAAAGGTCAATGATTCTTGGGTCTAACTTAATCAAAAAAAAGATTAAACATCCATGTCCAAAACAAACAGCCTGTCACTCTATGACCACATTGCTCCTCCCCCTCCCTCTGCATGCCCCTACAGCGGGGGACTCTGCTGTAAAGTCTTGGGATGAAGCCAAGCTTTAGTTTAATTAGAGCCTGATTGGAAAAGCAGCTCCTGAGGGCAGCTTGTTTAGACCTCTGTGACACTAGCTGCATTTCCATTGCAAATGTACACAAAACTTTGTCGATATGCTGTTAATGTCGAAAAAACACAGTTTTGCAATTGCGGTGTTTCCATTAGGTAAGAAATGCTATTAAAGTCACGCGTGAATACATTTGTTCTCGTGATAAGTCATTACAAACATGGCGGCAATGGATGTAAACACATTGCATATTGCTACCACGACACTGACGCTCATCATCAGCCATCAGAGGAGACGTCGACGTCTTATCCAGGCTTTCGAGTGACAAGCCCCTTATACTTGAGAGCGACTACGTATGCTACGTTTTTGGGAAAAATGTAGTCGGTGAGTTTAATACATTCTTTTACTACTTCAGTGATTTCACTACTACTTTTACTTCCTGTTATCTTCTTCGTCGTCTTTTTCGCCAGTAGAAACATCCGGTTGTTGATCACGTGACTCCTGTGATGCGAAAAAAGTGTTTCCATTGCAGTTTTGCTAAATACACCAATTTCGATACGGACGAAAAACCACCTCTTCCTAGCGCAAAACCATTTAGTCGAAAAACGTAATTATTTTTGAAATTGACGCGTTTCCATTGATCAGATTTATTTTCCAAATTCTAATTTGCGCATTTTTATGGTCAATGTAAACGCAGCTAGTGATAGATTATCGGTGGCAGATACGGCCATTTTTTTTAAATCGGGCAGAATCGGATTTAGTCATGTGATCGGGCCGATCCAGTTTTCGTGACAGTTTTCAGCATCATCATGYTTTACAGCTGCCGTTAAGAAGTCAAGACGCACACAAGTATGCAACCATGTCCACAGTGTGGGAACACTTTTCAATGGAAAACAATGATGCTGAAACTGCATCTCGCAAAATCTGTAAACTGGATGTTTCTCATGGTGGGAACAGCAGGGCTCGCTTTTATACTATCAACCTTGTCACTTGGAAAGAAATAAAAAAAATAAAGCTATCGGATCGGTATCGGAAAGACTAATCATTAAAAAAATCGGATTGTATCGGGAGTCAAAAAATCTGGATCGGGACATCCCTAATATATATATATATATGTATATATATATATATATACTTCAAAGTACGCAGTTCATTACAATCARAGTTAGAATTCCCTGTTCCAATAAGTTTCAGGTGCACAGTCAGATTCTGGGACTGTCCAGATGTTGGCATCTGGCAGCAATACTCAGCCAACCCTCGCTTTAAGCGACTGCTAATTTGGCTCCTTAATGACAGCGTCTACAATGTGATCATCCTATTTCTAGTGCGGCTAATTGAATATACTGGCTGGGTTGTAGCAGTGGGGGAGGACTGGCCATGGGGAAGAGCTAATGCCCTGTGATGAGGCCCCTAATTGAATTAGTTTAACTGAATAGATGGAGAGCTCTGGGACTTCTCTGGAGAATGGGAGGGTTTAGCACCGTTGCCCCGCCCTCAAACTACCAGAGGAGAGAATTTGAGCTGCTGACAAAAAAATGTTGCAACAATTGGTCTAATCGTGTCAGCAAAATAGCAGGCTCCTCTCACACGTAGCCTTCAGCGAGTTGGTTTTGTTCAAAGAGAAGGCCAGACTGTTGCGATAGCTCGAACGGTCTGTAGCGAGCTTGCTGACTGGATGAAACTGCAGAGAAAAGACATCTAGGTCTTGTACTCTTGTCAGGATTTAGGTCTTCTCAAGGGGAGCCTTGGTTCATACAAGTCCCCAGTGCAGAAACCGAATTAGGATTCAGGGAATGACATGGCAAACTCATCGTCCTGCCACCTAGGTCCTGTTAAAAAATACATTTTCAAATAAAAGGAGTGGGGGGGGGGACTAAAAAGAGCAAAGATTCATTCGGCGAAACAAATAAGAGACGTTACTTTAATAATGGGGTTGGAGCTGGTGCGAGCTCCCCATGTTGTGTGTATGTGGGCCAGGTGGGTGGATGTGAAGGCCATTTTGCCCCTTATGCTTAAGCCTGCCCTTTGATATGTTCTCCTGTCATGCCGCTCCATCCTTTTTCCCTGGGAACGGGGAGAACTGCAACGGCCGGATCATTATACATTAAACAAGCGCGGGGGCTGCTGCTTCGCACTGGCAATTAAACGGCGCTGGCTGACGCTGGGCTTGCTGCGCTGGTGACCCGTTCCCACTATCCGCCCCCCCACTTCCTTACTCCTCCCCTTCAGCCATTCTTACCTTTCAGATTGAGACATAGAAGCCTCAGGGTGGGTAGAAAGGTATGTGTGTTTGGGGAGGGAGGGTGGGGTTCTTCTGCTCCTACCTCTCTGTGTTGCTTAAATTGGTCGGTGCTCGCTGCTGATGAGCCCGACGATGATGATAATGCCCCGACTCTTCAAAGGGATGGCCGTCATGTTTTAACCATAACCTGGGCCGTGCGGTGGCAGCAGGACGAGGGGAGGGATGGAGAGAAGGAAGCAAAGGAGGGAGGAGGTGGCGAGGGGACAAGGAGAAGTAGAGAAGGAACCAAAAAGAAAAAAAAATAGATCTTGGAACAGAAGAAATTTTAACAAGTGCACAGAGAGAGGAGGGAGGGTGGGTGAACAGGGAGAAAAGGAAACTGGGCGATTGAACAAAATGTATCCTTAATGATGGGCGATATGCAGCCACCGC